CCAGTGTTTTGTCAATTCTGTTTAGGATGAATCGAGTGGAAAGTTTGTAGACGACAGACAGCAAGAACATTGGACGACATTTTCCGATATCATGTAGGTCACCCTTCTTAAACAATAACACAGTGTTGTTTGTCTTCCATTGAGTAGGAGCCTTGCATTCAGACACGTAACGTGTGAAGAGTCAGGCCACTGTATTTACGAGGATTGGCGGAAGATTCTTCAGATTTTCAAACCTTGAGCTGTCAGGAGCTGGTCCTGTTCGATGTTTCGCCGACCAAATGGTATGTCGGAATGAACGAACCGGTGGTACTGCATATCCTTCCTCCTTTATTTAATTTGACGGAAGATGGAGGTGGCTATCGAAGAGATCTGAGTAGTATTCGTGAACGATTTGCTCCATTGCCTTTCCGGACGGTATCATGGTCTTGTGATTAGCGAGGTATCGGTGGACTTTGCGAATGCTATTCCGACCCTCTGTAACTTCGACCATTACGACCAGCTGCTCTTCTCTTTTTAAGATCTTCTTTTAGCGCCCTTCTGAATTGTTTTGCAAGTACGGACATTAGTACGCGGTTGTCTGGAGCTTGTGCGATTCCACGCTAGCGTATCAGCTCAAGTGTTTCTGGAGACAGACGTCTCTTGGTGACTTTCGAGCTCTCAGCTTTCAGAGCGCTAACGTGAAGATGTTGAATGAACCGACCGTATTCTTCGCCGATGTTATCGAAAACGGCATCTTCCCGACAACCGACTAATGAATTGAATAGGTTCCGGTCTATGTTGGTTCTGCGATTTCGGTTTTTGAGTTTGTCGGCTTTTTCTTCTTTCCGCGAGAAATAGAATCTTGCACGAAGGAGGCGATGGTCGGATCCCGTGTAGTATTTGGGGACAACAGCGGCATCGGTTAGACAAAACATTCTATTTACGATCTATTTCGTTGTGGTACTCTCGACAGGGAGACTCTCACGTCTAGCATTGAGGGCGGGGCTTATGGAATTGTGAGTTACCATGGATGCTCTTGGTCGTCATGATAAACTCAGAGAGCCGTTCACCCTGTTCGTTCCTTTCTAATCCGTGGGTCTCAATGTGACGTTCTTCAGACGATATTCTTGGTCCAATGTTGGCGTTGAAATCTCCAGTGATGACCTCGAAGAATGTATGGTCTTCTCTGTAGAACTTCTCCAAGTGCATGTAGAACGCTTCACCTTCTTTTTCGTCATATTTTGATGTGGGCCCGTAAACGAGGAACATTGTCAAAGCTTGAATCCATCCACGTCTTTTTAATCGTAAACGTCCGATTCGGGTTGTAAGTTGTTCGAACGAATCGATGCTCATGGACAAACTCGTGTTGACAAGAACGCCGACGCCACCGACTCCTCTACTGTCGCATATTTCGAGGAACAGTTCTTATCCGGTGTCGTAGACGACGTTGGAAAGGTGGCTTCTTCTCGTCTCGTCCAGGCCGATGGCGTCGTAGCTTATCGTTCTAACTTGCTCGATCAAATCTATCGAGTACTCGGATGCAAGTGTAGATATATTGTAGGTACAGATAGTCACCTTACTTCTTTGCAATCCGGGCAGGTTCCGTTGCCCTGAGATTTTAGCAGCCTCTCCATACTCGTCCTACCCAGCTCAGCTGAATCGGGGGCTCTTTCAGGGCTAGGGAAATGAAGCTAGTTTCTTTTACTGTTTTTAGCTTTTCTTCTTCATACCCAGGCATAGCTTGCTAGGCTCTGAACGAAGGGGCTCGGTATACCTATGGAATACTTGCCAGTCTCTCCCAGCGTGGTCATGGAGCTTGGTTGTTGGAGGCGACTCCTAACCGTCTCCCATATACTTCCCTGTCACTTAATTGCAGGATTTTGGCCTTATTAACTCGTAGAATACAATCCGAATTAGCGAGAACGCACCCACGCGCTCATATATGAATACTCCTCATAAATACAGAAAGCATGTGCCAAATCGACACAGCAGAAACAGGAAGCCCTTCTACTGGATCCACGTGCATCTCAGGGAAGCAAAGGTCGCTTTTGGTCCGTGATTAACCCTCTATCCGCCACCTGGAGACACGCCACGTAGCCTCGCGACTGACCGGCTCGAGATCCCTCATATGAGGTATCGCAGTTGCTAGCGGAATATAGGCCTTCGAGTCAATTCTCGACACCGAATAACCACTAGTTTTAAGCAGAATGCTTGAATTCGTGAGAAGACGCCACGCGGGACTTTTCGTAGTTGACACAGGGCAACACCTTTCGACACTGAAATTTGGTATTAAATCTTTATATACATAAAGGCAACGTCATTACAACAGGAATAACGATGGAAGAATACTGGCTTATGAATAAGGTAATCAAGTCGAGCGTAAGACCCGACAGAGATTGTCAAGCCAAAAAAAAGCGGTGCTAGTCAGGCGTGGCTGCGTCCAAGCGAGTCGCTGGTGGTAGGGTCAAGGCCCGGGTCGCGGGGTCCATTCTCCAAGCAATGAGGCGTACCCAGCAGCATGCCCAGTGGTGTGACCGATGGCCACGAGATGCTGTGTCTAGTGGTGTTGTGGCAAGGGCCATCTCCATCGGCCCATTGAATGTGTCCGCTAGGTGGGTAGAGAATTTTAATAGAGGAATTCTCTATACGAAATTTCTTACGATGGGATCAAAATATTTACGTACTACGACATTTACCAGGCAACTTGAGAAACAGTAGATCTGATTCTTACTACAGAAAAATGCAGTAATAGAAAGAAATAGTAACTATTCCGGAGATAGTTGCTATATGAGAGAGATCCGTGCATTATTATAATTATATAACAAAATATTATCTTTCGATAATATAAACATTGAATTATGTTAATAACTATATTATCATATTATGCAGTACTATGGCGATGAGAACGCTAAATATGGGGTGGTTGGTAGTGTGCCGCAGCTGGTTCGATCACGGTTCAGGTTAACCATGCCTCTCTTCTCTTGGGATTTGCAAAAGTGGCATCAGACATTTTATATTTTGGAATAACTTGATACGATCCATGAAAACCAGCAATTAGTTTCGTTAAAGGTCTGAGAATGCTCTACTAATGCAGTGTGAGGATACCGGAACAAATTAACACCTCCACTCAACGACATTCTTTAAAAAGATAATGCCTACAAATTATCAGTCAAACTCACACAGAAACTCAAAGATGTTCGTGAATGACGGTCACCTTACGTGCGCATTGCACTCAATGCGTAATACTGTTGTTGTGTGGATTTGTTAACATTCCGGAACGCCTCTAGGTCCTTCCATTTGCTTAGAAGGCATCGATTTTGTGTTGTATTCTTGGACTCCTGTCATCACCAACGTAGTCGTTCTTGTGACCTTTGAGGTCTTCTGTCCTCTTCTCGACATTGGCGATCTCGAAATGGTAGCAAGTCCCGCCCAATCCGTATCATGGTATATAAGCGCGGAGGGTTGACATGGCTCGACGTGTCGCCTGGCGGAAACAAGGACATGCGGTGCTTCTGCCTGGCGGGACGTTTGTTTTCCACAACAACATTTCGTTGTTAGGCAGGTAGGGGTTTCTGCAACAGGAATTATAATTGCCCCTCATATTTGCATGATCCGTCATCACATGTACTGTACGGATCCAAGGAGTTATTGTGTTCGACTCGTTATCCCCGCATTCATCGTCCACAAAGGTCTTCGAACACTTTCTGTGTTCTTTAGGTCGCTGCCTGCTGCTTGCCGCTATTTCTCCTCCCTGTGCTTGCAACGGAAAGCCAAAAAACCACACCGAGACCAACATTTTCACTCATACCGAAGGGGACCAGCGTTAACACCAACTGTAAGAAAGAGAACAGCTTCGGTTATGTATAACTCAGGGAGGATGATGAGTGGGTAAGACATTCTAAGGTCAACTATAAGGAAGGAAACGTGGTGGAAGGGCGTAGATAGTAAATGCTTTCACAATAAGATCATTAAGGAATGCTCATAGTTGGCGGATCATATCGTATTTTCGGAGTTGGTTTTCTGTCGGGATATCACAGAGTGGAGACCGAGGGCTTAGGTGAGGACGAGAAGACAAATCACATTGTATTCAAAGTATAAACATGTGCTATGTTCTTAAGGAATCGATACTCTAAATGATTAAGAGGTGCCTAGTTAGGGTATGAACTGGACCAAGATGGTGAGGTACCAACAGTGTCTTATAAAATCAATATCGACGATTAGATTTGTAATATGTTAGAATCAAAAAAAGCACTCCAAACATTATGTAATCGGTGTAGAGAAGATCTGATAACATGAAGCAATAGTTGATAGTCTCTCTGGTGTAAAGAGTAGTATCTGCCATAAACATAAATTTTGGGAAAACACTCAAGTATACAGTTGGTGCTTATGGTACTTTCACTATACCCACTAAAACTCGTATGGTGTAATCTTGATCTGTGACACTTTACCTATCAACCATAGTCCCGTCCACTATCGATTTACTCGAATGAGCTCTGGGAAGACTAACATCCATCCATCTCTACCCACCATTATCACCCGAGTTACTCCTCCGTTTGTTCGATGGACACGACGAACATAAGACTTTTGGTATGACGTCCTTTATTTCCACATGTTTTTGCGTCGTTTTCATGTTCAGCAATCGCGAGGTTTTTAAACCGTTAAACCTGACCCCGTATGTTCGCATCAATTTCTGATGTGGGATGGTACAGTCATCAACCATATGCGACTATAATTAGCTGTACTAATCTTCCTCATTGGAAGTAAGCGGTGTTTTTCGAGAAGCTGTTGATCGTGTAATTACCATAGAGTTTTTTCGTCTTTTTGTAAGTGTTATTGAAGTGTTTGGCCTAGTAGATTGTATATCAGTATAGCCTTCCCGGCTCTGAAGAAGGCGATACTGCCGAAACGTCAGCTAGTGTTGTATTGTATTGTGTTTTTCTATGGAAGTAAATGTATGCTGTTTAAAAACCTCGCGATTGCTGGACAAGAAAACGACGCATTCATATTCCAGTGCCGAGGTTAATAGAAAGTCGATCCTGGAATCTATTGTTTTCTTTTTCCGAGAGAGCAAAAAGGTATTTTTCTGGAGTTATTTGATGCGATTTTACCTGAACCATGACGTAGCGGGTGCTTGCTTATGATTTCATATAAAACGATCAAGCTTTCGGCGTTGGTCAACCTTGAGGGATACACAATCCATTCCACTTCATTAGGCATCATTACATATGATTGAATGCATATTTGGTCTATACGGTGACTGGAGGTGATCTGTTGATGTCTGAAATCGGTGTAGCTGTCCTCCCAGACAAGTCCAGCACCGTTTTCCCAATCACGGTTGAGTGGAAGGCCTGCTAAGCCCGCGAACGCGACCAAACCAAAGACCACATGTGTATTGCATTGCCCTAATCACTGTGCTATACGCTGCCGTCATTTGTAGTATCGAAAGAGGGTTTATTGGTGTTCAAATTCTCAGTGAGAGGGATAAACGAAGGGTTATTATAGATTTAAAACCAGCATTTGATTTATCACAGACTTCACAGGTGCGGGAATTTGCCTGTTTATAATAAAAAAAAAAGAACGAAAAGATGGTTCTCTTTATGCGTTCCGGTCTAAGCCCGACACAATTCGCACTCACTTACTTCGGAAAGGACTTGAGCATTCCATTAAATGGGAACTGTTCATTAACATAAAGTCACTGCTTTTTAATTTATGTAAGTTTTCCCGGAAACAAACATCTCATTTAAGCAACAACTTTTGGTATAAAAGATGTGCCATATGTTCTGCCAGTGCATAGTCCTTGTTTTTGCAGTTTGCTCAGCATTTTCGCCCGTGTGGTGCCCGAGTTGAACGTCCTACTGGCCGCGCTTCGGCCCCTCGGACAGGTCGGAACTGTTGGCCGTGCCGAATTCGCCGACTTCGGATATGTCAGTGATGGAAGTGGAACTGGAAGAAATGTGAGCATTCGTTTCTCATTCTCATCTGTCTTCTTCCGTTTTGGTTTCTTTTTGTTTGCATTCGCATATCTTTGGCTCCAGATTGATCTGAGCACATCCCGTTAACAAAATTTGTACCATTTATCACCATTTTGAAATGAATTCTGTTTCATCAGACAAAATCTCATCCCATCTTTTCTAAGTTTTCTAGAATTCTTGTCACATTGTGTTCGTTGTGTATTCCATTTCAGCATTGCGACTCTCTCACCTCTTCTGTCATTGGCTAGCTGTGGCTCAATTACACTCCACAACACAGCGCTTAGAGGTTGGCTTCTGACAAACGCCAATCATCAGAAACTCTATTCAGATGCCAGGTATTTGTTCCGCTGTTTACAAGTCGCGTCGGTGCAGTCTTCTCCTTAGGGCTGTTTTTCTTGTAAAAGTAGAAATTGGTGGCTGTTATACTTTTTAGTGCGTTAGCGTTGGAACAGGACTTGGAGGAAAATGGAGAAATCAATGGCTTCCAAATGCCTATAACTTTTCCTTACTTGCTTTTTAGTTATAGTGCATAGACCATCAGTAATCCCACTAATGTCTATTAAGGATTCAAATCCGTACACTGTGACGAACTACTAATAGATTGTGGTTTTTGCGCCTTTGAGAGGAGTGTTCCCGAATGTTCGACAACATAGACGAGTATGAATCTCTTGACTCTCTGTGTCTGTCTGTTTGTCAGTGTCATTCTATTATGATAGATTTAACTCTTGTGTAGAGCGAAAAGAGTCTTGGAGAGGGTTTTCTGGCGGCCTTCAGATGTTCTTTATCTTTTTTTTTTTCCCTCGAATATTCTCTGTTTCATACCTTGGTTACACATATTTCTAATCCTAACGTAACGGTAGACTGACGTCAAAGTTACTAGTTGTTACTTCAGTTTCCTTGCATAAGAAGATTTGTTGATTTTGAAGTTGTTCGATTCATGTTCCAGGCACGATCATGTACTCCTAGCTCTTCACCTGACTGAAAGCGCACCGTTGGATTCGATTCGACTCTTCGAACTAGCCCAATATCTTCTCAAAGCACATCCGTACAGGTTCATGGATAGAAAATATATCCCTGACGTTTTCATTATTAATTTATCTCGAAGACCTTTTTTATGCAAACGGTATTCTTTCGGTTTAATTCACCTCTTCGAAGGATTGTTAGATTCATTGGAATAAGCGTTGCTGGGAAGGTATTGCAAAAGAACTAATCAATCATGGAAACATGTTCTTCCCCTTCTTCCTAAACAAAGGTAAACTTTCGTCTTTCTAACAAAGGTTCTTTCGTCATTGGCATTTGAGATGGTTGAGCTGCAGTAGATGTCACTAAATGATTACAAAATCAGTTCTAATTTAGTGTCTTCAGTCGATATAGATAAGATGTCCCTCCCAGTGGTTTACCGCCTCATCATGGCTGTGAGAGTTCTTGGATGTCGGGCTGCGATGTACAGCGGTGGAATTCATTCAGCAGCAGGACCTCCCAAGCCGAGAAGTAGTCCGGCGCTTCCATCAGGAAGCCTAGTTAAAAGTTAACCAGTACTAAGATCCACTACCGTCCTGGCATCAAACCAGTCGCGTGGTTGCAAATCTTCCTTTGATCCACAAGAGCGGCGAGTGCCTGTCGTGGTAACCACCTGGGGCGGACTTTGGCTAGGATGACGCCAGGACTCCAGGGAACCATAGTGGCTGAATCAGCAAAACTCCGAAACGACGGGAATTATGCTGGTGCCCGCACAACCAGTGAAGTCGGGTTATCCAAGTATCCGAGTAGGTAACATAGGACGTTTTGTTGAAGTAAAGGCTTTCAACTGAAGTTATTGTGTAACTTTTTGTCATTTTTACGTCTAGATGTTGGACGTCAGTTCTCAATAGTTGGAAAAGAGCCGCAAGAAGTAATGGTTGTTTATCTGCCTGTGGTTTACGGGGAGTTGGGTACCGTTAAAGTATAGCACTAGCGATCGTACTGTAACCAAAGTATTTTCGTTACTTTAATTCTGTGCCATATGGGTTGTATATTTTCTGAATAATGAGGTGGAACTAGGTGACCTTACAGGTGACACCACTTCTTTTGATAGCTGGAGCCGATGTGAACGCTTTCGATTCGTCGTCGACATTGAAGGTTATGCAAGAAACTGTGACGGTTGGCAATGCACATATGGTCTCGTTGTTCCTCAGCAATAATGGCCTCATCCATCAACCTCAATGTGACAGGTCTTCATGATTTTTCAATTCTGTGTAGTCAGTAGTGCTTCCTACATTACTTCATTTCAAATTCTAACTCTTGTTATGGGTTGACTTGTTTAACTGTTTAAAGTTTCTTGCAAAAGGTGTTGACAATTGTTGTATAGTGGTTAGTTATAGTTGTATGTATGTTATTTCTATAATGTTAACTGCAACACATTAGACCGATGGATGGAACAGGAAAGCGTTAATGAATTCCTTGTATTAGTGGTGGCAGGTATACAAAGTGAATTTTTTGACAAAGAAACCATATTTGCTGCTTTTGATTTTATTCCTTCCCTGTGAAAGCGCAAGAGCTTTCCACATAGGTGTAGTGTTAAAGAATGATATTCCACGTGTGCGAAAATTTCGTCTTATTGTAGTGCGTTGACCGTCGGAGCACGCTATTTATCAAGGAGGGTTTACATCAAAGGCTAGCTATTCTGTCAAGTTATCCTCATAGCTCCAGGATACTCAGCGCTAACAGTCGCTGCAAAATTTGGTCACATTGAACTTCTGCCATTCTTGTTTCCCCTTGACAATATGTTGTGTTGAGGCGGCTATGATGGAAAGTGCTCCCAACGACCATAGGAAGGTACGTAACCTCTTGCGACGACCATTTTCGATCCAAAGCCTTTCCAATGCTTTTTATCGATATTTTTTAGTGCAGAGCTGACGTAACGCAAGCAAGAGAATCACAGCCATAGAGAGTGCAGCCAGAGTGATTGTTGCCGTCGGGGGTGGTATGAAATAATTTTTCATAATTCTGCTTTTTATTAAGTTGTCTCTTTATCTATCTCTTTACTTCCATTCTAATGTATGAGACCCTAGAATCCCCTAATGTCAACGGAGATAAGCGTATCATTCTGTGCGCACAGAAGACGTGGTTTTTTCGTTCTAGGCCAAACGAAGGTCTATGAACTATTGATTGACTCTTGTGGGTTGTACGATTAGCTACACCCATGTGTGCAGCTTGTGAACAAGGTCGTTCTGACACCGTGCAGTTCTTACTTTCACAGTGAAAGTTCTTCTGTCTTTCCTTATATTCTCTCTTCTATTCTTCCTTTGTTCTTTTCGTTGATCAATCTCTGAGGTTTGTATCATGCAATCGACATCTTCAAGCATCGTTAGAGGTGATTGAATGCATGTAAAGCCTTGACAATGAGTCGCCTGGCCTACGGATGTATCGAGTCAGTGCTGTTATCCTTTTAGAGAAGTCCGGTAGCAATTTGCCGACTGCCGAGGAATGGAAGGCTTGGTGAGCCTGTCACGTCTTATCTATGCCATGTGTATTGCAGGGTACCTGTAAGCCACTACGATAAATATGCCCCATTCTAATGCCTTAGACTTTAGAAGCTCATGATATCGGTTAAGATATGCATATGATTCCATTTGCATAGAAAGAATTCAATAGTAACCACAATGATCTTGTGATATTTGAAAAGTTCTGGACCGTAGGTATCTAATGTGGGGATCTAACTTGCTATTACCCTTTCCAGGGGCTGACGTCTTCACCACCACACCATGCAGGTCCTTCGTTTCGCCTTTCTCCGAGCCGTGATTCTATAGTTGTATACGCTGTATGTATGTTGAACTAATCGACTCCTATTGAATAAAGGTCTAAATAGCAATTACTAATAGTTTTCCGTAAACAGCATATTTTTCATTTAACATTGGCGATACGATATGAATTACATAAGCCAATTTAGTCATTCAACATAAAAATAACCACTACTTTGTTTAAATTCGTTGTCGACATGGACCTCTTTTCTACTTTTCCAACTCACTTGGTGGCCTGCCAATTTGTGAAGAGTAAATGGTGAACAGTAGTTGTTTGTATAATGCTTTTTTTAAAATTCATTTCCTTTGTTAAAAGATCTCATACTCACCTTTGCAACTGTGTTTAGAACCAGACATTTCATTTTTCACTTTAATCAGCACAATAAATTTTGTTTCTAATTTTACAACACTGCCCTTTGACATGTTCAGGTGCGAAAAATGACCAACAGGATAACCGTGAATGGTCGGCCCTCGTGGTCGCCGTCAATAGAAATCATCTACCATCTGTACAACTTCCGTTAGGTAGGAGCGCAGATCCAGCGTTAAAGATGAAGTCGGTACGTTTATTCTACTATGAGTGGTTGCTTCAGCATGCAAGCACAAGTTTTTTAGGAAGGACATTGGCACACATCGCATGCTTCTCGGCTTCTCGATTAGTAGTTGATCGACTGCTGGAGTGCGGTATACCAATTGAGGATTGCTACAAGAACGGGCTATATCCTATTCAGATCGCTATATTGCATCAGAATAAAGATGCTCTTGAGGCTGTTCTAAGCAGGTACATTTTCTGTTAATCGTTCCGTCACCTTCAGTAAGAGTTTGTTTCTCAGTTCATCGATCACTAGTAGTTACAAGGAAGGGGAAACCTAGTATCAAAGTAGCGACCCGCGGCAGACCTTAGCCAGGGTGACCTCGGAATCCTAGGGAACCATAATGGCTAAATAGGCAAGCTTCCAAGAAAAAAATGAAGAAAATATTGTGCTGTTGCCCGCACAACTAATGAAGAGGGGGCGTCCAAGTATCCAAATATCAAAAATTTTTCGTACTCGTCTTTTTTCATTTTCGTCTGTTCCCACAAATAGCACTCAGGGGACAAGTTGCATTCGCTGACTAAAGCCCTTATCTAATGACGTTCACATTTCTTACCACAACTCTTCATTAAAGTTTTCACGAAGTCATATGGTTATTAGTGGTCGTTGTATTAGAATTAATGTCCTTAGAAAGAATATAATCACTGGTCCATGTTAAATTTAAGACTAGTAGCTTTTTTTTTCGAATTTTTCACATTTTTGTTCAGGAGAAAAGAGGTTTGAGGATGCAATGCATCGCCTTCACTGCACGTTGAATAAGTGTGAACTTTGTCTGGACAACCAGAAGCTGCAAGGTGAGAGGATATGATCGTAGCAAAATGCAGTTTTCTTGTTTAATGCTCTGATTTATGACCAATGTAAGCGCAATCTCATGATGCTACGTGCCATAACCTGCGCTGGAAGTGCGATGCTATGTTAACGCAAAACTACCAGGAATTATGCTCGAATAATGGCGCTTCATTGTCTTTTGGTATCATCCGCATTGTTCATAGTATTCAGACATCCATAGTGGTCTGACGAAAGTTCGTCTACAAATCATGGTGTCTATGGCGAGAGAGCTCCGACGACAGGGATGAACGCTACAGGCGATTGAAGTGTGTTCGTTCATTGAGGCGGATGCCTGCGAGCGTGTTCGCTTCGAGGTTTGTTATTCGTTATCGATTTGTAGCCGTAATGAAAAATTTAATGCTTTGTTCCGAATCTGCGAGTAGGCAAAAATCATTCTACAGTGTAGAAAAGGTTCTTAATGAATGGTTGTTAGAATGACAGATGAAAATAGCTAGACGTGCATCCAAAGTCCTTTTCGTTTCTTCTTTCTGAAGCCGATTTTTTTTCTAATTTTCTTGACATCATAATTGTAGTTTTGGACGTTTTTGAAGTTTGCTTACTTTGTTTTAGTATTTGTTCAGAACTTCGTAACAATTGCTATATTGCAACAGTACAATAGTTTAAAGACAGGTTTTTGTCCTTTTCCTTTTTCGATTCTGTTGTGGTTTTGAGCGAATAGGGATCGCTTTAGAGTCTTTTACTTCGATCAAAGTGTCATTTTGACCTTCAAGATCTCGAACGAGCGAAGGTTCACGCACGTGCAGCTGTTCACCTGCGACCTGACCATGATTAGGCACTCAACACACTGATGCTTCCGTCAGCAACCATTGCTAGATTATAGTTTACCACTTTCTGTGCAGTTTCTAGAAATTATAAGAGGTTGTCTTAAATAATAGTTAGAACTATGGAAACAGTGCAATAACTCAGCTGTTAGGATGCGATATCACGAAGCGGGTACATCATTATAGCAGTTGTCCTCTCATGCTGTCTGGATGACAATTCTTTCTTGTTCTGTTCTCCCACTCTTTTTGTAAATGTGTTTTACTCCTTTCTGTAATGTTTAGTAGCAGTTTTCTATGGGTTATAGTTGACATACACAGTTATCGATTGATAAATGTTTATTGGTTGCTGTAAGCTTTACCAAATTAATAGTTTACACATTGTTGACTTATTAGCCTCTGTAGAAAAGCAAATGCTCAAACCTCCATCGATCGATTTCTACTCTACCGTAGACCTACTGGACAATTGTATCCACTCCAACATCACAGATATTAACGCTATGATTAAGTTAATGGATGTATAAAAGAATTACAACAAACTGATTACATGCGAAGGAATAGATGATTTCAGATACAAAGTGCAGTGCGAGTTGTCATTAACCCTCATTCGACCTAGCTGGTGTCTCGAAAACGCGATAATTTCTTCACCAGTAGGGAAATAGAAGAGTTTGAAACGCTATAAATTGGTAGAAGAACGTGTGTTCTATAGCCTAAAGAGTGTTTGTAATTCTCAAGAAGCAGTCTTATTTTACTTTGTTTTATTGATAAGCTAACACGAGGTTGCTGCCAATTTTTTGCCCGGTTAATGTTTCTACGTCTTCGTCTTTCTCAGAGCCGAAACGCTACATATAGACTTAGACTTGAAGGAGAGGCTATGTCCTATCGCCCAAAAGGTATGTATAACTCTCAAGAATTATCGTTTCGATTTTATCGTTTACAGTTGAGTATCTCAAAAAGAGAAGAAACTTGGATTTCTCAAATGTCACACAATTTCGATATCCGCAAAATCCAACAATGTTCTACTTCACGAAATATCCTGCTTGTTGAACCTTTTTCATATTCTAAATACGAGCCTTGACGAAGAAAGACGAGTGAAATAGGTGTTTCCTCGATTTAGGAGAATCGGAATTGTATTGTACTAAAACAAGGAGACTCGTACTTTGTAGGCGAAGTTCTGTAGATTAAGGTGTTTCTTTTTATGGCAATTAATAAAATTTGCTCCAAGTAAAAATATGTTGGTTTAAAACTGAAGGTGGCATTATTATCGTATTGTTCATCGCCTGTATAAGGCACGTTGTCGTGTATGTGTTAATAATATTACCTATTACCCTACTGTAGGAGGCGCATGTGCGCAGTGGTTGGAGGCGCCACTGCGACGCATACGTGGAATCGATCCCCTAGCTCAAGGCCCACCAAGCCTTCCATCGCTCCGAGGTCGGCAAAGTGGTACCAGACTTGTCTAGGAGGAAGCAGCACTGGCTCGATACATCGGTTGGCCACCGCGAGTCATTGTAAAGGCCAAATATGCATTCAATCACCTCCAACGATTCTTAATAAAGTCGAATGCATACCTCACGGATTGATCAACGCCGAGAGCTTTGCCCTTTTAGCGTTATTACCCCACTGTGCTGGATCAGCAAAATAAAACCAGCTTGTTTTTTGTTCTTGACTAAAACATATATTGCCGTGATAGACCACTCCAGCCACGAGAGAACTGTTAGCCACGATGAGAAAGTGAGAAAGTAAACCACGAACAAATGAATTAGAGGAAGCTACGCAAACTTATAGGTATAGCAGAAAACGTAGACATTTGACATGGAGGGAGGGAACAAGCAATCGTGGCATAGTGAAAGACTATATTTATAGTCAAACTATTTGCTAAACGAAACAGGAACGAAGGTGTTATGTGGCAGCATTGTCTAGGTGATAGAAAGTCATAAGTGATCGCTAAGTAACGAGTAGGATTTGAGTTTTATCGGTGCTGATGGATTGTCGTCGAGTAAACCAATTAACATCTTTTAATAGAATGTTGCCCTCTCCATGGTTTACCGTTTCACAGTGGGTAGGGGGTAATCCTGAATGCCGGCTGTAATGTGCGGTGAGGGGTTCATCTCCAAAAGTGCCTTCCAAGCTAAGAAGGAGTCCGACGTTTGCATCAGGAAGCTCAGCTAAGAGTAAACCTATCTCAGGAATTACCACCGTCCTGGAATGAAAATAGTGGAAATCCTCCTTTTAATCCGCAAGGACGTCGTTCGCTTGGGATGATGGCAAACTGAGGAATGCGTCGGCCGGACTAACCTCGGGATTCCAGAGAACCACGTTGGCTGAATCGACAACTCTCCAGAAAATAGAAAATACGCTGTAGCCTGCACACCAGTGAAGACAGGCCATCCAATTATGCAAGCATCCAAGTAACAAAACAATATGCTCTAGAATAACTTTATTCTGTATGTTTTCTCATGGCTTTCCAGATGTTAACCATAGTATTTGCCACAACAACAATAACGATAACAGATCACTTGCTGTGAACAGCATCTGTCCCACAACTGCAACCGTCTGGATCAAAGAATATATTTTACTTAGATACTTAGTTGGCCTATCCTCAATGGCTGTTCGGACCCCAGCAAAATTTCCATTTCTTTGGAGTTTTGTCTGCTTATCCATTGTGGTTCTCTGGGATCAGGAGGTCAGTCTGGCCAAAGTCTGCCCCAGGTCTTCACCGCCACAAGCAGGCGCAGCCCTTGTGGATTAGGGGAGGTTTGCCACCATGCAACTTTGATAGCAGGGCGATGGTGAATCCTAGTATTGCTTTACTCTTAGCTAAGCTTCCTGATGGAAACGCCAATCTCCTTCTCAGCTTGCGAGGCCCTGCTAGGGGACGAATTCCCCCGCTGTAGATCAGTCCGACACCCAGGAATATCTCTCAAAAACGATTAGGCGGCAAACCGTTGTAAGGAAAGGATAGGATATATCAATATTAACAATGTCATATATAATCAATATCAGATGGAATGGAATACTACTTACGTTCTTATACAAAGCATTTACAGCCATAACAGTAATGTATGGGGATGATCCAGCGGTCAACAGCCATACAATATCTACCCACTTCCGAGGCAATACAATGTCACTGCGATGGGCTAATGCGGCTCACACGTTGACGTTCCTGCCACTCGTCATCTACATTCTCGTTTCGTAGTGGAATTATTCTGTCATACTTCGTTGTAGGGATCTCTCTTGTAGCTACTGGCTTTGTCTAGTAAATAACCTTACCTTAAGTACTGTATTGTATTCCTACACTCGCGCACGAAGAAAACTGATGATTGAGAATAATTGAGAGTCACATTCATTAAAACTATTTCAATCCCATATATGTCTCTTGCCATATCAATCTCATTGATCTATTGTTGTATTCTATGTGATACGATTCCACAGATTAGTTCATCAGTCTCTAACAGAAGCCACTCTTGCGACTAATCATTTAGAAAAAGCATTATTGTTGTTGTAAACAGTTTAATTAGTCACGCTTGAGATTTACACAGCGCAGGCAACAGAGACAAGACGCGCGTGGCAGCGAACGAGCAGATTCAAGCTGATTCAAGCAAACAGCTCAACACCATGTGGCACTTCATTTAAAAGATCAAATAGGTATGTAGTATCCTCCAGCAGAGCCTAAAATTGTGGGTTCATCTGTCAACTACACTACAGATCAGTTTTAGTACAATCTGCGCAATGAAAGCACAATAATAATTTAAATAATTCAGTAGAGAAAAAATATTTCTTGACTGTCACTGACAGCCTTTCAAACGTTAAAGCATAAATACCTACATATCACGGAGCCTTCAAGTAGTGGACATCGTGACACAGATCTAACTACCTTCAAAGGTCGTGCAGATACGCAACAACGACTAGTGAACACTTAGGCTACACACTACCTGATATTCAATTTATCTGATTGTCCCATCACTGAACTGGTACAAAATAGTGAGTGGCGGGACGGCTTCTACAAAATAGTTACATCCACTGTAGCTACCTCAATGTAGGTCGTAGTGGGTAGTGTTCGAATGTGGCCATGCAAATAAATCGAAGATCCCGTGTACCAAGGTGTGCTGGTCTAGTTGCTTGTCGTGATCTGTGAGAAATTGCTGAGCACAGACCACATTTGAGCAAGGCTTGATAGCACTTGAATGTGCAGAGGATTCTCATGAAAGCACAAATAAGAATGTGGGTGTGACCGACATTTGTAGAATAAATGTACAATTCGCATGTGCTCTCATTTCGATTGATAAAATCGTTCCAAACACCAATCGTTTGGGGAATGTAACGGCTTTCGTTAGTACGAGTCCCAATCCATAAAAAGCAATAAAAAATGCAACAAGCACCAAACGCATGTTAAAAACCTTGCGTTAGTCCATTAAACGAGAGTTCGATCAGAAGGTCTTCAAAAGCTCTTCAGCATCCAATCAACG